GATTATCAGCTTGTATTAGGAGTTAATTGGTTGAAAAGGGACAAAAGAAAAGCCTCTGATAGCAGCAGAGTTACTGAAAGTGAAGCAAGAGAAAAAGCTGAGGTATTTACTTTCCTAAATTGTAGAAAATGGTTCACTGAAACTGCCATGGTTGCAGTAGGGTTGGAATGAACCTCAGGCTAATGGTTCACCACTTTGGACAGACCAAGGAACCCTTCTTTTATCTTTAAAGCTCTGTGGAAATTAGGTTCACTTTTTAAGCCTTGTATCTTTCAGGTCAAAGAAGAAGGGTTAATACCCTGTATATCTCCAATCAATTCAGTGCCATTCCTAAAAGCTTACAACTTTTCATAGTCCAGTTGGGTTTGAAACCGGCATTTATTTTTTTACCCCCTCTACTTTTCACCCAGGATTTTGGTTTTTCGGTTAGCATTTAAGTTTATTTGGAGATAATAATATATTTATTTGGGCATAATAATATTATAGTTTTTTATTTAAATAAATTAATTATTATGTAGTTGAAATTTCTTTTATAATTTTTTAGAAACACTAATGCTTATATAAATGCCAAATTATGAATTTTATTGTTAAATATTTTATGATTATTATTCTGTCTATCCTATTTAATTTTTTAAGCCTATCTTTATTTTTATGTTTCCCACATAAAAATTTAATATTTTCTTAAGTTACTCCAAATTGAGAATTGAAACTTTTGCCTCTGTATTTTTAAGCAAATTCACATTTTTTTATTTGGTACATGAAAATATTTTTTTATTTTTATTTTCTAAATTTATATATATTTATACATATTTTTATTCATAAAAAAGTCAATAAATTGTGTATATGTTTAATAAATATTTAAAAAAATAAATAAATTTTATTATTATTTTCATTACCATCTTATTTGTTGCTAATAAATTAGATATCAAGATAGTATAAATTAGAAAAGATAAATTTAATTTTTCGAACTTTCTATTATAGATCCGTTTCAATCAGTATTAGAGTGTTTTTGTTTGAGTTGCACGAGATGAATTCTCATATAAGGTTCTTGAAGGAGAAGTTCTCTTGATTTACCTGTCTTAATAAAATTTAAATTTATGGTTGGTTATCTATATATTAATACAGATTAGATTGTATAAGCAAGAAAAATAATAATCTGAGATTAATTTACGCAATACGATGGACGGCCGTAAAAACTCCAGTAACTTGTCTGAATGTCAAACCTCTGCAAGCAAGAAAACAAACTCCATCAAGAACATCTGTTTTCATTGGAGAAATTGAAGGCAACTTATGTCCACATTCTGCAGAGACAATAACTTTTTGTTTCTTCTTTCGGGATGCGGCTGGCGAAGGATGTCCTCCATCAAACAAATATTTTTCTCCACAAAATATAGGATTAAATTTTCTCGTAAGGCAATTGAAACAAGTTTAGTTAATGAGATTATTAGCTGCTGCTTCTTTTGCAAATCATGCATATTCACAATATCCCTTGTATTTTCACAACCCGTCGTCAATCAGCTGTTCGATCATAGAATCAGTCATCGTTTAGCAAAAAATATCTCATTTTATATTGTGTGTTAAAAATAATATTTTTTATTGATAACATTTTATTGAATATTATAATTTTATATATACAAATTTTTTAAGATGAAAAAAGAAATAAATAATTATTTACAATTAACTACAAATAGTGTAATTTTACCTTTCAGTATGATTTATTTATTCTTTAACACCCTGATTTATTTTTTTTAATACTCTTATTTAATTATTTTTCTAACACCTTTGATTTACTTTATCTTTAACATGTTAATTTACTTTTACTTTAATATCATTATTTACTTCTTTTTTACCACCCTTGTAGCACCCGGAAAGGAGGAAAAAAAAAAAAAAAAAAAAAAAAAGGGGGGGCCACGTCAGCAGCCACGTCAGCAGGCCCGGTCAGCAGTCCCGACCAACCGGGGCCTGCCACGTGGCAAGACCGCGTCACTCCGAAAGGAGCCATGTTGGCGATCCGCGTGGGTGCGATCCGACGGCCCAGATCAATCGCGCGATCGGACGGCCCAGATTCAATCGCACGGACGGCCCAGATTCAATCAAAAACGAACGACCCAGATTAAAACGAAATGAACGGCTGTGATCAAAAGGCAAGGGGTTATAAATAGAACCCCCACACCAGACCACAAACCCTAGCCGCCCGCCGCTCGCCGGAGAAGACGAACCAGAGGCCGACCGCCGCCACCCGCCGCCGCACCGGGGAAATTTCCGACCGCCGATCGAGGTAAATTTCATATCCCCGACTCGTTTTTCTCCGCTGATTCCTCCTATGGCCAAATTGAGGCCGAAATCCCGGCCAAACGGCCGGAATACGCGGCCGAAACCCAGCGGCGCCGCCGCGCCCCTCTCGGTTTTTGCCTCCGACGAGGTCCTTCCCGGCCTCCGTTCGATGCAATTTTTATATCACCGTGATCACCATTCTTTTCTCTACAGGTTGACCGAAGCCGAATCACCAAAACACGAACCTCGCCGGAGAGCCGCCGTACCCGAGGGCGCTGCCGCCGGTAAGCTCCGCTTTTCCGTGATTTTTGGCCCCCCGAGGGCCCTAGGGTTGTTTTCTGACAAGGACCAATGCGAGTGTGGCCGAATTCGGCCGAAAACGGTCGAAAACAGCCAACCCGAGGTGACTCGCCGCCGCCAGCGGCGGCGCCGTCGCCGGAGCACGGCGGAGCCGCCGTGCCGGAGTTGCGATTTGGTCCGAAAGGGGCCCTGGGCCTAATTTGGATTTTTTTGGAACACGTGCAGGTACTGTTAGTGTGTTTCAGTTCCCCGGGAAAAATTCAGGGAAAATTAGGGACGGCCTGCAGGCGCACTGTGAATCGTATTCGGATCCCGAAAACAAGTAAGGACCCCTCACCCTATTTCCTATCACGGTATTAAAGTTCAAAATGATAAAACGGTATTTCTTGAATTAACGAATGTGTGAAATTGCTTAAGGTGGCTAATGGAGCCCGAGTCTAGTGTGATTGGTGATTTACTGTTATTTAGCATGTTTACAGCTTTAAATGCAAAATGAGGTTTGATGTGTTCACTTTACAGATTTGTGTGCAAATACTACGTTTTTATTAATCATGGGTTGATTGACTGAAAAAACTGATACTGTATGTTGTCTGTTCGGCATGAATTACTGTTTTGCTTGTTTGTATGTGAATTGATGATGCTGACTGAGGAAAAGGAAAATGAAAGATTGTGTAGACTGATAATTGTATTATGAGGGTCAGCCTAACTAGATATCCTAGGAGATGGTGGACGGACCAGGTCCGTAGGGAACCCTACCGGGATTGTGGTCTCACATGCCGGACGGGGTATGGAGATCTTATGATTTTGGCACCCATATCGGACGGGGTATGGGGACGGCCCGTTTCACCCTCATACCGGACGGGGTATTGAGGTTTATGGTTTTGGCGCCCATACCGGACGGGGTATGGG